CGCCGGCCAACACAGATAAGAACGCTCCATCGATGCAGGACGTTCCGAACCACGCCGGACAACTGAACGCAGGTTAACCTTCCTTTATCAACGATGCCAGCCGAAGAGCAGAAAGGTCAAGTTCAAAGTCAAACCCAGAGGCCCTGGAAACTAGAGCCCAATGGTACAGTTGGTGAGCCAATGACCCTTCCTTGGCTCCAGGCAAGCTGCCCTGGCTGGGTCCCAAACACCCGCTCTGACCCTACAGACTGCATTCCACCCCTTCAGCACCTACATGTCTTTCACTCCTCGAAAGGGGTACACCCGGGAGGCAGCCAATATTCTAATCAGAAAACCCACAGGCAAAACACTTTGGTGCTTTGCGCATGCCCACCCTGGTCAAGGGCAGGGTTGCCCGACGGAACATTAAAGGTCGCAGGACCCCTTTAAAGGCTTGAAGGGCAAGGAGGTCACATGAGGTGGAAGGCGCGTCTGACTCAAACCATGGTGGTTCCATTCGTCTCTGCGTGTGAAAGTCGCACCGTGAATAAGACCAAAGAGGCATCGATGGGCTTGAACGGTGCTGGCAGAGAACATGAAAAGTCCTATTCAGTCTCGGACGAAGGACAGCCCGCATGCTCCTTAGAAGCCAGGATGGCGAGACTGGGTCTCAAGTGCTTTGGCTATGTCTACCAGGAGCGGCCAGTCCCTGGAAAAGGCCGTCATGCTCGGTAAAGTAGAGGGGCAGCCCAAAAGAAGACCACCCTGGGTGAGATGGGTCGACCCAGTGGCTGCCACCATGGGCATAACAAGAGTCCTGAGGCTGGCACAGGGCCGGGCAGGGTTTTCCTCTGTGGCACACGGGGTCACTGTGCTTTGGAATCCAACAACAACATGTTTTTGTCCACCAGGAACCCTGGTGGTTAGTGGGCTACTTCATGAGCTGCTAACTACAAGGTCAGTGGTTCTAATCCACCAGCGGGTCCTCTGTAGAATGGTGAGGCTATCTGCGCCTGTAAAGATAGGAGGTTGGGGAAACCCAAAAAGGGCAGTTCTCCTCGGTCCTGCTGGGTTGTGGTTCCAGGTCAGAATCAACTCGAGGGCAGTGAGTGTTTAATCTTCATCCACATTAGCGGTTCGGTTCCAGTAATGGTTGCCACAAGTGTTTTATTGGTGAACTTGATCGTTTGTTAATTAGCCTACCCGTGGGGTCCAGGCCAGCCCATGGCATCCCTATAGGGCAGATCAGAGCTGCCGAAAGGGGGTTCTAAGTCTGTCATCTCTACGGAAGCAGACTGCCCCACAGAGCATCCGGCGTGTTCAAACCAACCTTTTTGGTTGTCGGGCAAGTGTTTTAATCATTGCACCACCAGGGATCCTTAAGTAGCCCAATGTGATTTTAAAAAAAGAAAAAAGGCTTCCGGGGACGGAATGAATGGCCTTCAAATATGTGAACTGGCTGCGACTCACTTTCCAACCCTGTATAAGCACACTAGAAAAAGCTTGAATCCTGAGTGATCTGTGTCTATTACTCAAGAGCCGTGTTTCCCAAAGTGGGCAAAAGCACCCACTGAGGGGCACCCGAACAATGGGGGGGAGGGGCTGCAGAAGCAGATACCTACACTTTAACCTGGGTTATGAGCGAAAGTTTTTCTTTTTTTTTGCAAACGTTTTTCATTGCAAGGGGGGCACCGTAGTTTGTCTTGTGTTTTCGGGTGGGGGTGGTGGTAGGCCAAATACGCTTGAAAATCTATGATCTACGGGTTCCGGTTGCCTGAGAGCCATCAAGTTGAAAACCCAGGAGGAGTTGGTTTTGCCTCACAGCAAGACTCTAAGGCCAGGTGGCGCTGTCCCCGAGGGGGAGCCCCCCAGCTGTGGCCCTCTTTCTTCGCTGGAGCAGCTGGTGGGTCCTAGGTGCCGACCCTCCTGTTTGTAGCAAAGCACCCCCACCACGGCCACCACCAAGGTTCCTTCCATGGCATCAAGGCTCGAAACGACCCAGAATTCTAAAATACACACCCAGAAACCCTCCCTGCCACTGCATCCACCCGGCTCACCACGACCCTACCAATTGGAGCAGGCTCGCCCTGTGGGTTGCTTAGACTGTACATCTTCACAGCAGTGAAGTCTGCATCTCTCTCATGATGGAGTGGGCTCGTGGTACCCAACAGCCCACCCTCGGGTTAGCGGCCCCAGCCGGATCCCACTACCACACCCAGAACCCTTGCAACAGTTTAAAAAACAGCCTGCCTCTTGGATACTTTTTTTTTTAAAGGATGCAAGGTGACAGTTGCAACTCGTGAGGGCTACAGGCTGGAAACTCAGAGTCTAATGTGGTCTGCACCCTGCCGAGCCCTGCGGAGGGCCTTCAAGGGACTCAGTCTCTCCCAGCAGGCACCCAGTCAGCTCTCAGCCGGAGTGACCCTGTAGGGGCAGGGTAGAACTGGCCCTGTGGGTTTCTGAGACGGGAACTCTTCTATGGGAGTCGGAAACCTCCTCGTTCTCCCAAGGAGTGGCTAGTGGTTTCGAACGTGGGACCTAGCAGCCCAGCAGGTACCCACTCCCCCATGAGAGCTTCGTAAACGGCACCCCCAGGTCTGCTTTCTTTCTGTGACCGCATTCTTCCAATGGAATGTTGGCCCAAGACCTTTTATCATAACCGGGCAGCCACCTGACCCCTGGAGGGTTCTAGGTCCAGAAGCACTGAGTGGTTCCGGCTGTCAGACTGGCTCCCAAGGCCTCTGCATCAGGATATAGGGTCCAGACCCTCCCCTCCACCCACCCCATATTGCCACAATTCCACCTGCTGGGCAGGGGAGGAGAGGGGACAGGCACCCACACACACACTCCCATCCCCGCAAGGCGGTCTACCTTGGGGGAAGGGCTTCCCAGAAATGAGGGGGGGGCGTGGCGGGGGGAATAAGAATGAAGCTACGTGAGCCAGGAAGGTCGGTGAAAGCCTCGGTTTAATCGGAGACACGATTGGGTACCGATCAACAACACGCGGACTGATCGTCAAGTGGACAATACACACGGGGCTCCCGAGGGCCCTGCACCCACCCTGGGAAAAGAGGGCCCTGGATAGGGGCTGCGGGCCCATCTTGCCCTACTCCCCGCCCGGCCTGGCTCCTGGGGGGGGGCGCCCCCCCCCCAGTTTATATAATTCAGCAGGAGTGCAGAAGGCTTCCTTCCTGAGGCCAGGCCTTCTTCCCCAGCCAGAGCCAGTCGGGGCGTGGGCAGCCAGGGAAGGGCAAATTCTGGTGTCCCTTTATGCCTCGGTAGAATAATGCACAGACCAGCCTGACAGCGTGTATAAAAGGAGAACCGGGGACGAGAAAACACCGCCACAAAAGACCCACTCGGGTGGCTGCGGAGACAGAAACTGCTTGTGCTACAAAAATAAACCCTGTACAGCATCAAGGGGCTGGGAGCCCTCACCTGGGGGAGGGGGGAGGTAACAGATGGAAGTCTAGGCTGGTGGGAGGGAGCTGGGGGCTACAGTACCGTGTGCTCAGAAGTAAGGGGAAAGGGCAATGCAAGAGTTCACCCTGCCTTGCCAACCTGTAGAGCCAGGCTAGGGGGGCATGAGGGAAAGAGAGGGTGGTTTTTTTCCTAAGCAATCCCCCATGGCTTGGGGGATTAGCCAGGATGAGTAGCACTGGGGGAGCACAGGGAAGGAATGGTCCAGAAAAGACTCTGGTGCCAGGGTGAGACGGAGTGCCCAGGAAGGGAATATGGGTGTACATCTTTATTGCTTCCTCCCAGGGCGAAGGGATGGGCTACAGTCAGTCCAGAAGGGGCTGGGAGAATGATGGGGGAGGCACCCCCAGTAGGGGGGCTCCTGACACCCTACCTTCACTCCAGAAGTAGCCGGGAGCCACTGTAACCCCCCTCTCCTATGGCCACAGGGTGGGGTGGGGGGGTCATTAAGGCAGAAACAAGAGGAGAAGCAGCTGGAAAGGAGGGTGCAGGGCAGAGCTGCGGCTCCCCCCCCCCCAAACGGAAACAATTCCAAATAAACTGGAAGGGGAAGAAAGGTGGTAAGTGGAGGGGGGGCTATCAAGCCTTCCCCAAACCTCAGGCTCAAGGCTAGCCAGTGGGAATGACCCCTCCCCACCTTAAAGTGAGCAGGATCCCGCCCCTACCCCAGGCAGCATAGCCCGGTTTGTGCAAAAGGTTGTGCAAAATGAAGCGGAAGACTTTGTTGGGGAAGTCAGGAAGGGGCTGGGGCCAGGGCCTCCCACTGAGACCCCCAACTCCGCCCAGAATGGCTATTCCTGACTAGGTTCCAAAGATCCTCCCCAATTCAGGAGAAAAGCCGGGCTGGGGGGTGGGGGGTGGGTAGGGAGTGATGGGTTGAGGGGTGACGGGGACTCCGCACCCCAGCTTGGGCTTGGGCCTGGGCTGTGAGGCTGGAAGACTAGAACCTGGGGTGAGGGGTGGGGGATTCAGGGAGCAGGGGACCTGGGTGAGGGAGGGGGGCAGCCTGGAACAGGAACATCTACAGTTGCTGTGTTTCAATTCTTTTTTTGTTATCGTTTTTTTTCCTTTTTCTAAAAATGTTAACCCTTAAAATTAAAAAATAAAATAAAATCCCTTCCCAGACCTCAGCACCTCGTTCCCCAGCCCCCCACCTCCCCGAACCAACCATCCAAACTAACCAACCACAAAAATCCCCATGGGTAAGGGTGCGGAGAAGAGGGGACAAAAAAGAAAAGAGAAAAAAAAAATTACTTTTCTGTTTTCTTTTTTCTCAGGCCCACGAGCTTCTGTGGCATAGGAGGAGGCGCTCGGGGAGTGCTGATGGAGACCACCGTTGGGGGGGACAGGGTCTGGGGGCTGGGGTTCAGGGAGGGTCTCCACTTGAGCTCTGCCCGTTGGAGGCTGTAAGTGTGGCTGGGTCCCTTGGGCACATCCCAGTGCACAGATGACACGCTCTCTTGGCAGCCTTGTGTTCCCTTCGGGCCCCCCCCTCGGCCGCCATGGAGGGGAGGCCCAGGAAGCCCGGGGCCTCCTCTTCAGGGAGTGGGGTCCTCAAGGCAGGCTGAAAGGTGTGTCCAAGGGACAGGGCAGGGGCGCTGCTGCAGCTTACGTCTTGAGCCTGGGCCTTCAACGGTGTCCTCTTCTCGGCTGGGGGCGCAGACGGGGCCACGTGCACTTCCTCCAGCTGGTCGCCCTGGGCTGGGGGTAGTTCTTGCACTGTGGATGTAGCTTGGCTTGGGGCTGTGGTCTGGGTCTTGGTCACCTCCTCCTCCTCTTCCTCCTCCAGAGTCAGCTCAAACTGGAACTTGTCAGGGGGGGGTGGGTGGCCTGGGCCCCCGGGCTCCTCCTCCTCGGGGGGTGGCGAGGGACTCTGGCGAATGGCGCTGTAGTACCAATCCCGGTTGTCCTCTAGTGTGTCCAGGATGCCCTGGGCATCGGGGTGGACCAGGTCTGCCCACGTCTCCCACAGCGGGTGCACAATGTAGTCGATGAAGCCCACCT